AAATCAGATAAGCTCATTTGCATATATTAATCAATTGACGCACGTAGAATTTTATCTTTATACCTGGATCAAAAAATCAATAATTTATATGATTTATCATGAAAACAATTATTCGAGAGTATATGATTGTTTAAATCAGTGTCAATCTCGTTTGTATTCATCATAAACAAAGTAAGACAATAACTATCTAATATAATTCGTGATTTTCATTGTATTTAGTAAATCTTTTAAAATTAGTTCCGACAATAGGAAATACATCCTCTGCAAAATATCACAGTATTTTATATTTTTTGGATAGAATTTTTCAATATAAACTAAAACATGACTAAAAAGATCTATAATAAGAGTTCTTTCAATCGCTATTTCCGCTATTTAGTGAAGAGAAAAAACTGACAAAAGTTCCGGTAGTGCACCTATTCATGGTTCAAAACATCAGTTTGACGATCACAGCAGTTAAGTGCATGTAATTGGTAACATAGAAGTGAGAAGCTAGTCTGTTAATTATATATTTTGTAGAAAGAGGGTTGAAAATCTTTAAATTTATTTTCTAAATTTAAAATTCTTACAATCACTCCACATGCTATTTTGATTTCGTCGCTTACGGTTTTTTGGTAGGCGATATTCCATTAATTTGAACAATTTAGTTTATAAAATATGGTGGGTAAAACAAAGGGAAATAAATAGTCGGAAAGAGAAAGAAAGGAGAAAACAATATTCATATAAAAAGTCTCGAAGATCATTGAGAACAATAGCATTTTTCATTACATAAGCGGCAAGTAGGTGTTATATATATACACATATGTACCAAAAAATAAAAATATTTCATTTATTTAGCTATCATGCCTATCGCCATCAATAATATTCTTCTTATTCTTAGCATTATTCTATTATTTACTCTGTTTATTGGTACACATACTACTGATATTGCTTATTCTAATCACATTATCGTATGTTAAACGAAATATTTATCTACTTTTATTCATTTAATATGTATATATAGGAAACAAATCATGAAGAACAATCTCCTGAATCTATTCATTATATGGCTAAACGACGATTTTTACCTACACGACGTGAGCTAGATCAAAACGTTAATGATAATAATGAAGATAATGAATCTCATTTGAATGCTAAACGATACTTTTTAAAATCCAAACGTTATTTTCTTAAAAGCAAACGAGAAGATGTAAGATATTTGATTCTTTTTTTAAATTTTAGTTTTTTTGCAAAGCACAAAAAAAACGATAAATTATTTCTTTTTCTTTTTGTTTTTTCAGGAATAAACGCTCACCATCAACTACTTCATCGATATAAACTCTTTTCATGTTATTGTGTGTAGACAGAAAATGAAGAATAATTATAATAAATTTATTTTATTATTTTTCATGAGAGCATACATACATGAAGTACCTATCAATAATGTTCAATATTGCATATAATAATCTTTTAATTCAACTCGACATATTCGTATATATTAATCTAGTTTTATCATATTTTCAATGGAGATTTCTTGTGAACAAAAAAAAAAGAAAAAGATTGTTGATTGCTTTTGTTCAAATAACAGATCGTATTTTTATCTTTCTTGAATAGTTTACACAAACAAAACAGAAGCACACCCACACACATATATATAAAGATCTATATATATATGCACCTTAACTAACAAATACCATTATATGAGAACCATGTCCATATATAGAAATAAAACAAACAAACAAACAAACAAACAAACAGACAGAATAATTGCATTTTTCAGAAAACAAGAACAACGAGTATATATATTGCACAAAACTCTTCTAAGTTAAAACTCTATTTTTTTTCTGTTTTGTAGAATAACTAACAGCTGAAACGGGATGCGATATTGAGGATAGAATATATATAACACATATAGATATAAGTTTGAATAATATAAGAATAGAAACCAAAAAAAAAACATTTATTTATTGTTCTGTCTTCAAATTATCAATGTTTAATATGGACTTCAGCCGGTGGTGGTGGTTTTGAACGATCAGTTATCTTAAAAGCATATATATTAAGATGATCACAAATTTGTCGAACCTAAAAAATATTTAATAAATTCTTCTAAATAATATATATTATTAAAATAATCATACCACACAAATAGCGTAATGTAAATGAGCCAAAATAACGAAAATATTTAAAAGAAATAAAAGTGTAAATTCCATTCTTTCTGTAAGTGCACCATATACAGACATTATTTGTATAGGAACAAAAAAATAAAGAAGTGTATTAAAGCCATCCGAACGTGTCGATGTCATTTGTGCAACAACAAGACGACACTGAAAATGAAAAAAATAAGATCAAAATATTTTCTTTTTCTTAGTCATACACATACTGCAATATTTGAAAAAGTGGCACCAACAGCAGAAAAAAATATACGGGATTGTTTATGCATGATCATATGTGGTGAAGCAAGACCCCACCAAGTTGATGAAATAAATAAAATAGTTGGAGATATTAATGGTCGAAGTGCTTCATAATATGTTCGATTATAACCTGTACCATTTTTATATGATCTAGATTTATTGGAAATGAAAAATATTATTAGAATTTTTAATTATATAAAAATATTCAAGATTAATTCGAGGAAAATAAGATATTTTAGCCTAAAGCAACATATATCCTATTATATCATGTAAAAACTATATTTCTATTTCTAGATGACATATTTTTCCTTGAAACTTTGTCTAAAAGAAGTTAGATTTTCTTCTATAGATTTATGGTAATATAATCTTAAATGTACTAATCATAATGCATATATAGGTTATATAGAACTACACTTCTATGTCATTGAACGTTAATTTTATGTACAAAGTTTTTAGTCAAAATTCAAACGAACATTATTATTTATTTAAACACAGTGATTTATGATGGTAAATGAGAGATGTTAGGATTATGTTATTTGAATATGAATTTTAACTAATATTCATATCATTCTATTAGTATACAAAAAGAAAGCGTATGAAATACTTACTCAGAAAATTTTTCTTAATTTTCTACAATTCAAATTATTTAATATGTCTATTCTTTATAGATGACTTCTACGATTAATAATAATTTCTAATCACTTACTCTTGAATATGTTTGATACTGATCGGAACTGATGTACATAATGCAAAAACTATTCAAAGAAAAAGATCAAATAATTATTAAATCCTTTTGTAATAAAAATACATACATGGCCAAATAAATTCAACACATCTTGCAAAAGGTACATTGATAATAGGTATATCAAAAGAGAAGACACCTGGTGTAAAAAAATATGCTAATAAATATGTAATTGTCATGACCTAAATAAAATAAGAAGATACATTTAATTAAACAAATTAAATCTCTTACTAGCATTGATATATCATATGACCATGGTAAATATAAAACTTTTGTATTATATTTTTCCCAATGTGAATCAATAAATGATAGATATATAATCCAGAGAAGCATATGCATAGCCATTGGACTAAAACCATATTCACCTCGTGATATAACAGAAAAAATACAAACAGGAAATAAGAAACAAGCCCAAGAATCAACACCATGATCAAATAATTCTCCCAATGCACTACTTGATTGAGTACGTCGAGCTTGTTTTCCATCCATACCATCTATATTATAAATTTTATTTTTCATTTAATTTATAAATTTTTCTACCTAATTGATGTGAACAAAATTGACATATGGCTGCAATGAGCCATATCCATCGTGGTAGAACATGTGCTTCAGTAAAATAAAAATCATAATATGAAAACATGACAAAATTGAAAACAAGAAGCAAAAAACCAAGAAATGTCATTAAATTTGGTGCAAACCATCGTGGGAAGTACTAAATAAAATGTAAGAAGATTATATATTTTGAATAGAAATGTCATTATAATAAATCGGCTGAAAACTTAGAGATTTTTTCTATAAGAAATTTTCCTTTATCAGGATAGCTTGAAACCGAGGTGACTCATCACTTATTTATTCTGACGCTATCAAAACAAATTGTTTTTTCGATGATTCATGTTTGCTACTTAATAATAATAATAATCGTATGAGCATTCTGTTTAGTTTTATAAATATTATTTTTGTTCGATATTAATCGATAATTAGAAAATTTCATAAAACTACACATTTACTATTTGCTTCATGTACTAATTAAATATTCACGTCAAATATGAATATTATCAATCAATAATAAACTAATGTGTTTTTTTTACTTTATATATTTTTATATCTGCATAAAATACAAATAAATCTTTATCAAAGTATTAAAGTGCATTAACGATTTTGTTCTACTTATATAACCAGCTGTTGCACTATCATCTAATTTTAACCATTATTTTTCATTTTAATGGCAATAATCGCATGATAATGCAGCAGTCAGCTGTATGACCTGTTTGACCTGCAAAGGATACTTTTAATTAATCATTTTCTGTTTTAATTTTGTGATGGTCCCGATAGATATAATCTAATTTCAATGCATATTCGTGACCGGCGATTCACCTCTGAATTGATTAACTCTATCGGTCAACTGGTAGCTATTTTTATCGATTATTTAATAGTCAATAAAGAGCTTCATGTATATCTCTATCATCTTAATATCATCTACTTCAATTGTAGATTCGGAAGATTTAATTCAATTAGTCGCATAGTAGGAAATCAAAAGAATGAATAATTATTGCAAGAATATGAAAAAAAAAGAATACCCCAGGGAATCACGACTAACGATGTTTTTTTCATTGGTGTCGGAAAAAAATGACCTTTTTACTAGAACTTTTTTTATACGTCAATATCCTTATATTTTTATTCTAATAATTTCCTATGCCTTAGCAAAAAAATGGTTAATTTTATTTTTATTTTCTACTCATTTTAATAATCAATGATTCTTAAAAAAAAGAACATGATTTTATTATAGATAATTATTAATTAACGTAAAGTGTAATATAAGTTT